AGAATAGAATAGAATAGAATAGAATAGAATAGAATAGAATAGAATAGTTGGAAGGGATGTTGGAGGTCTTCTAGTCCAACTCCCTGCATAGGCAGGAAATCCTATACCATTTCAGACAAATAGTTATCAATTCTCTTCTTAAAAATCTCTTCTTCTTTGCCTTCTAATAAGGCAAACCCATAGTTAGTGAAATTAGGACTGATTTAATTAATCTGGACATCTGAGTTCAAACGGTGATGCCTGGGTTTGAGTTCTTCTGAAATGGAGTAGATTGGTTAATAATTCTGCTTCCCAAATTTGCAAGCAGCATAATTCTGGAAAAGTCATGACCTGGTTGGAAGGCACCATCTCTCTCTAAACATATTGTCTCTTGGAGATCTGCCTAGTTCCATATCTGGCATGAATGTCCAAGCTTGGCAAGTTTAAGACTTGTGGGCTTCAACTCCCATGCTGGCTGGGGCATTTTTGGAGTTGAGGTCCACAAGGTTGGACACCCCTGTGAAGAAGAATGTAATTAGAGTTGGAAAAATGGCAGAAGGGGACAATCAAAGTAAACCAAGCCTTGAAAACTTTCCCCATGAGAAATACTTAGGCCATTAGGGACTTTTAGCTTGAGACAAAAGTCCAAGAGCATTTATCCAAAGTATATAAAATGACATATTGCATGTAGGATCAGGGAGAAAATGTTCAAAACCATAGAAATTAGGTGAAGGTGAAGAAAGTTTAAAGCAGACTAAATTGGAAGTTTTAAAGAAGAGATTGGATATCCATTTGTCTGAAATGGTATAGTGTTTCCCATCCTATCCCATTCCACTATTCTATTATGTTCTGTTCCGTTCTGTTCTGTTCTGTTCTGTTCCATTCCATTCCATTTCATTCCATTCCACTATTCGGTTCTGTTCTGTTCTATTCTAGACCACGCCATTCTCCCTTATCCTCTCCTCCCCACAGAGGATGGAGAGGGGATGGGCCTGGGTCCTCCTCTAACTGCCCAGCCGGCCTCTGCCCTTCCTCAGCCACCTCCACAACCTCTGGAGCCACACTTCCACTCCCTGTTGGCTGTTCCTCCTCTCCCTTGGAGTCAGTCTCCAACAGGGACATGACAGGTTCATTAAAGGTTATCAGCCCTTGGAGATTCAGGATAACCTCTAGATTGGGGGGAACTATGCCTTCAAATTCCAGTTGCAGGGAAACAATACTGAAAATGGACCTGTGATGACCCGGGGCATGGCACAAAAGCAACAAAGTCACAAAAATAGGTAAAGTCGCTTTAATACCTCCAACTTGGCTCCCAATGTCCAGTTATCCTCGGCTGGAGAAAATACTCCCCCAAGAATAGTTTTTCAAGGGAAGAAATTCCATCAGAACCCAAAGTACATATAAATTATAAATAAAAACCAACACAAACCATGCTTCAACAATTAATGAGACAGGGCAGGATAAGGAATTAAAGATAATGAAACACACACAGTTGGGAGGGTGCCAGAACCCAGATAACACTTGACAAACCAAAATAATTCATGCTTTGCTTCCAGCAAGGAGCTGTGCACAAACATCCTTTTTATCCTGTTTTTCCAGCTGCAGCTAATGAAGGGAATCAGGGCCTTTTTCTCTCCTGAAACCCACATTGCTCCCTTATCCATTCCTCCCTGCATGCCCGAGAATGAAGAGGGTGGGCCTGGATCTTCCTCTGAATGCCCAGCCAGACTGTGCCCTTCCCCAGTTTCCTCCATGGCCACCAGAGCCACATTCCCACTCCCTGTCAACTGTTCCACCTCTCCCTCAGAATCAGATTCCAGCAGGGGCATGACCGGACCAGACCTCCTGCTTATAAGCGTTTCAGAGGGCAGAAGCATCTGCAGATGTAAAAACAATGCATGTGCTTTAACCACCACCACACAAATATCTGTGGAGGTTCTCAATCATCTAGGTCATGGTTGTCCTGAAGGTGCTTTTTCAAGAGGCAACTGGACTTTCTGGTTTTTTTCTTTGAAGATATTTCACTTCTCATCCAAGAAGCCTCTTCAAAGAAAAACCAAAAGAAAATCTTATGAAGCTTCTCCTCTGGAAATATCTTATGAAGGTTCTCCTCTGGAATTGCTAACTAGAGCATAGAAAACTTTTGCCAGACCAATACTCGAATACAGCTCATCAGTCTGGAATTCGCACTGCATATCAGACATTAATACAATCGAGTGAGTCCAGAAGTATTTCACGAGAAGAATACTACCCTCCTCTGCTTGCAACAGAATGCCCTCTATCACCAGGCTTGAGATTTTGGGCTTGGACAGCCTTGAACTACGTCACCTATGGTTAGACTTAAGCGTAGCACACAAAATTATCTGCTACAATGTCCTACCAGTCAATGACTACTTCAGCTTCAACCACAAAAGATACAAACTCAATGTAAACTGCTTCAAACTCGATTGCAGAAAGTAGGACTTCAGCAACAGAGTGATCAATGCCTGGAATGCACTACCTGACTCTGTTGTTACAACCTCTAAACCCCACTCCTTTAACCTTAAACTATCCACTATCTACCTCACCTAAGAGGTCTGTAAGGGGTGTGCATAAGTGCACCATCGTATCTACCGTCCCTGTCCTATTGTCCCCATTTATTCGTACCTACTTCCTGTATTCTTACTTATGTTTATACTTATACCTATTATCTTGTAAGCGATTGACAAATGAAATAAAATAAATAAATAAATAAAAATAAACAAATAAATAAAAACCAGAAAGTCCAGTTGCCTCTTGAAAAAAAAAAACACCTTTGGGATCACCTCACAAATTTCGCCCTGACATATTTGCACCCCTATGTTTGCTGCAATATGTAAGTAGCAGCTTTTAACTAAGGTTGTCCTAAGACAGGGGTCTTCAGACTTGACAGCTTTAAGACTTGTGGACCTCAACTGCCAGAATTCCTCCTCCAGTCATGTTAGCTCAGGAATTCTGGGAGTTGAAGTCCACAAGTCTTAAACTTGCCAAATTTGAAGACCCTTGTCCTAAGACATCCTTAGATTTATTCATCTTCCCCATCTTATGTTCTTCTCTTACTGTGGATTATCATGTTAGAGGAATGAGAGAAACCAAACCTTGGACTAAGATATCACAGAGCTTTTGTCCTTATTTCCAAAGCTAACATTTATCTGCATCTCCTGAGCATCTGTGATTACTTCCACATTGATATCACTCAAGAATGACCATTATTATTGTGTTTACCACATGGAAAATCAATTATGTGAAGAAGGACTATGGTAGAATTCTATTTATTACTTTATTTCCAGGGTTTTGACTCACCATAATGTATGAAGCCAGCCATGATGATATGTTAATGGTAATATTATGGGAGAAACCAACCGCTGTAGTTTTCTCAATAAATTATGCTTTAAACAAACATATTCTTCCTTGAAATAAAGTTTTAAATTATTTTTCTAAAAAGTCACACCTCATGCTTGAAGATATTTTATTTTCCTTATTTTTCCCCCTTCAGTTTCTATGCTGTCAGTTCTTACAACCTCAGAGCACATTATGATATCTACTATGGCATAAAATTAACACCAAAAGCATGATATAGTCAGTAATCACCTACCTAATATACAGGGGTGGAATTCTACCGGTTCTGTCTGGCTCTGTAGAACCGGTAGCTCTGAAGAACCAGTTCTATGTCAGCTGATGTTTTAGCCCACCCGCCTGCCTGGGCTCTTACCTGACCTTTATTTCCTGCTTTTTCAATCTCAGCTGCTGTGTGAGGCACAGCTGCAGTTGAAAAAGCTGGAAAAAAGTGCTTTTTCAAACGCTGCTTCTTTGCACTGAGTGCTGCTCAGCTGTCCAGGCAGCAAGCTGATGACAATTTACAGCCACATGTGCAGCAGGCAGGGAAGCACATCATAAATCACTGAACCTTGTAAATCACCGAACCGGTAGTTAACCCTGTCGGATCCCACCCCTGCTAATATACCATCAGTTAAATATATATTCACTTGTCTGCAGATGCATTTCTGATGAGTTGTATTTTCCTTGCTCTTTGGATACAAACAAGAAGGCGACGGAAAGTCAACATGTCTGGGGATAGGCAGGTCAACAAAAGATTGGCTATCACTGAGAATTCCCTGTGGATAACATTGCATTGTTGAAGCAGCCTTTGGCAAACCTTCTCTCTCTGTTCTCA